ACGTTGCCCAGAGTGCGCGAACGAGGACGCAAGAGTCGGGATTGAGTATAGCCATGCAACTGTAACTGCATACCCAGCGCAATGACTATACCCCATTACACTCCAACCTATCATAGTATAATCGGACTTTAAAAAAATTCTATGTTTTTGAATCTGGAAAAACACGTGGTAGATTTAAAAAGAATGTGGTAGATCTTAGTTTTAAAATAGACTGTTATTTATTTTTCTAAAAAATCCTGCAAACTTTCACTTAAATTGCAAACTTTTTAATTAGAATCGCTAGAAAAAAAAACTTTTAAAGTTTAGTATAATAAAGTGAACATTTTAAGTTGCTAAGAAATCGCGTTGTTTTGGCATTTTTTTGTTGACTGACACAGTTCCTTCCATGTAAAGAAGTTTTTCAAACATATTTTGAGAGTTTTCTGCAACCTTGCGGGGTGCTGCCAGCTGCTCTCACATCACGATGTAGCGAACAAAGGTGGATTCTTTAAACCGCTACTTTGGTTTTGCCGATTCTGACAATTCTCAAATAAAAGTAAACAACGCCTCAGAAACTTTAAATGAACCGAAATTCACTAATACTTTCAGAATCACCATTTTTTAATATTTTGTTTATTAATTCTTTTTGTAAATCATATATTTTGCAATTTAACACAATTAAACAACGCTTCCTACCGAATAATTACATATAAAGAAAATTATGTCGAGCAAAAGCAAAACTACTCAAAAACGCGAATAGGTGATAGATTTCAGACCTTATGTGGTAGATGCTCAAAAAGTGGTAGAAGTCTGATTACTCAGTCACACGACAGCCTGGACTTGTGTTGTGGATTTTGTTCAGTTCATATGCTTTACACTTATTTTATTTTAACAGGCTGTACGCCGCATACCACAAACCCTTTATGTATTTAAAGTTTAAGTTATTTGTCTACGTTCCGAATGTACCTGAAATTATGGGTTTTTCCCGAATGTGCGTTCAAATTGAAAAGTTGAAGAGTAGGTACAATTCACTATTTCGCTCCACTTGTTCGCTTCTTCATCTTCTTCAAAATTACCGTGGAAACACGGTGCCGGCGAGCGGCAAATTCACCACAACGAAATTCGCGCTGTCAAAATTGAAACACCCGCCTGCAAATGAAATTGAACACAGGCAAAGCCAAATGCGAAGTTCGCTGGGCGTCGTTTCGTGGTGATGGATTTATTTCTATCGCTCTGCTGGTCAATGGCGACAGTTCATGCCAAGGGTGGCCTTATGTTGTTTTTTTTTGCGTTCAACGTTTTATAAGAAAGAGCGAATAACAAGAATTAATTTTTACTAATTCCTCCTAGTTATATATTTATATTTGTTATCATTTCATCATTTCTAAATATGGTTTCGTTTCTCAAAATATGGTCACCAAAATTATAAATGCTACGAAATGGTATCAGTTGATTTCACTACCGCTCTAATTCTGTTAACGGCGCGTTTGCAAAGGACAATGCTAGACAATAAAGAAATACGTATTAGTTGTCAAAGACGCTGATAATTGTCTCCGTGGCGTAATATATGTTATAAATATATATAATAGTTAAGACAATTAATTTTGAGCAAAATTTCGAACGTAAACGTTGAATTATAAGTTGCAGAAACACGAAGTTCGCGCGAGCTATTTGAGCTAAAAACTAAAAAATAAAAAAGAAGAGACAAAATTACATACACATACTAAAATTAAAGCGATGATACTGAACGTTTTAAACATTGTCAAGGGTTAAAACACGTTTCCAGTGGGTTTCTGGGGTTACTGATTACGAATCTGATGTCAGATTTTCAAAATTCAAAATTAAAAAAAAAACGATTGGATTTGTTCGAGTGCCGGGTTTCGAACAAACCCAATCGTTAAAAAAAAATGGACCGCCATTTTGAATTTCGAAAAACTGACTTCAGATTCCTAATTAGCAACCCCAGAAACTCACTGGTAACTGGTTCCAACCCATGACAATGCGTAAATCGTTCAGTATCTACGTTTTAATTTTAATAGTGTCTTTTCGAGAGCATATTTTCGGGAACTAGACCCATTATAATTGTCCAAGACAGGTGTGTAATTAAGGGTAAGTTCCCCAATAATACCAGAGTAATTATATGTAAAAACCACATTTTTAGCTACTTTTTTTTAAATAAGAAAATACGTGTCTCTTTTTTTATCACAAATAACCGTATTCTGTTGTAGCGTTTATGAATTTCCAAAAACAGTGTTTTTATGATCCACTCTAGTATGCATGTATTAGTGAAAAAGTGTGCCTGTATTGCTATTGTCCGGTGTAAACCCGTAAGTAAAGTAGGGCACCGGGTATTATGGTTCCAGCATTATTCTTTACACTCTCATTATCATAATAATGTGACGTCACATACTACGTTTATACGCACGTCTTATTTGCAAATAAAAATTTGCAAAATGGTAAACTTTGCCGTATAAACGCTCAGTTAATTTTTTATTTGCAAATAACTAAATCACGCAAATAAGTATTGATTAGTGGTACTATTTGCAAATAAGCGCAAGACGCCGTCATTCTTAGGTTTATTTTCGTTTTCGATGGTCATCTTATTGCCTTTATATAATCAAGACGTTGCCATTTTTAACTTTATTTTCTTTTTCGATGATCATATTATTGCCTTTTTATAATCAGGTAATGTTAGAAAAGAATTTTTCACCGTCGAATAAACAGTGAGTTAGGTATTTGCAAATTATTTTTATTTGCAAATAGCTTACGTATAAACGTAGTAACACTCAGTTACTCTCAGCTCAATGGGCGCAATTTTGTAGTCTATAATTCTTGGATTTGCTCTATGTAAAAGAAAAGAGCAACACCAAAAGAAAATGTGAAAAATCGCGCCAAAAAATTTCAGTGTAAGAGTCTTTCTTTGTTAAATTTTTTTTATCCGTCTTTTTTCGCGATAAACTTTTGAGCTCGCACCTTTATTTGCATCTAGTGGCGATATGTTTATAAAACACCATAAGTTTTTCAACAAAAACAAGAAAAACAAGTTCATTCAAACAAAATAGGAATAATAATGCTATAGGTAATGCTTTTACAACCAGCGCGCTGCAGCGTTCGGAATTTAGGGCATTAAATAAACCCTTATTAGTGGCTTTGATTGCGATAAAGCCGAAGGATTAAAAAGTGGTCCTAAGAATATCGGGTAGTAGTGCACTTTAGCGAAACCAGGTCAAAATGGACGGAAAAGGTTCGAGAGTGGTATCAATCGACGCGTCTTAACGCCAATAATAACAATCCGAGACCGGAAATTAACATCTTGATTTCATTAAAGAGTTGTTTGCAAAACAACACTTGTACTTTCCGCCCTATGTTTTGATGAATTTCACGCAAATTAATGAAATAAATAAACTCAATTTAACACGTATTTATTAGTTTTTATACATTTGTGATGTTTTAACTGTACACTTTCGCGAAATTCTGTATTTAATATTCCGATGGTGAAAATCCGCACAACAATCTTGTGTAGTTAATTCAAATAAAATGGGGGAAAACTGGTGCTGCCACTCTATTAATACAATTTGTATTTCAACTTTAAAAACACCCAAATAATGCACAAGAAATATAATTTTGTGAAAAGGGGATTTCTGTTCCTTTTCTTCGCACGCAGAAAGGAGAATTCTACGTAGTGAGGGTTATAATCCCTAAGCGCGGCCGAAGGCCGCCTACGCAAAAAGGTGTTCTCTGCAAAAGGTGTTGTGCCCCTTTCCTTTGGCAACGCAGAAAGGAGAATTCTACGTTGTGAGGGTTGCGAAGGCCGCCTACGCAAAAAGGTGTTCTCTGTAAAAGGTATTCTGCCCCTTTTTTTTGGCAACACAGAAAGGATAATTATACGTTGTGGAGGTTATAATTCCTAAGCGCGGCCGCAGGCCGCCTACGCAAAAAGGAGTTGCACGCATAAAAACTTTTTTAATAGAGTGGCAACACTAGTTTACTACGCAGGTTGTTGTGCGGATTTTCACCATCGGAATATTGCTATTAAATACAGAATTTCGCGAAAGTGTACACTTAAAACATCACAAATGTATAAAAACTAATGAATATGTGTTCAGTTGAGTTCATTTACTCCATTTATTTGCGTCAAATTCATCAAAACATAGTGCGAAAAGTGCAAGTGTTTTTTGTGGATAGCTCTTTAATGAATTAAAAATGTGAATTTCTGGTCTCGGATTATTGTTGTTCGCAATAAAGCGTCGATTGATACCCCTCTTGAATTTGTTTCATAAATTTTGGCCTGATTTCGGTAAAGTGCACTTTTATCGAATATCGTCTTCGTTTTCGTCACTACTAAGCTCGTTGGAGTTAGTTAAATGCAGTCTGCAATACTTATAAGTAAATAAAACATACCTTTTATGTAATGTTGGAAATGCGAAAAGAGTTTACCGTTAAAACACAGTAACAGTAACAGTAATAGCAAACAGCGTTTCAGTCTCGTCGTCTTTTTGCATTGCGAAATGTAAATGTAAAGAACTGCGATCATTATGAATAAAATCGCTAAAAACTAGCTAAGAGCTCCTAAATTAACACTAAAAACCCCCTAACGCTAATTATAAAATAATCTATTGGGAAAAGCACCTACTGTGGGATTCAAATTGTTACAAAATTGTTGTCGCAAAATTGTTACAAAGGTTGCATTTGTTGCAAAATTTTTAAGCATCATAAAAAAAAATTACATTTGTAATCCGAAGTTTCGATAGATCGTTCATACAACTTTGTTTGCAACGTTGACATTTCGCCAAAAATGCCACTTTGCGGCGTTTTATGAACCGCACTAGTACAAGGCAGTCTGCACATGGGTCGTATCGTTTTAGACGCGTATTAGATGCTACATACGAAAGTTGTACGCTTTGATGCCGCACACGTGCATTTAAATTTAGATCTGCATACGAGTCGTCAGATTCACGAGTTCGTCACAGCAAGCTAGCTGCAAATCGCTTGGCGTAGCGCAGTTTTGGTAGCTAGGCGTACGTACGCTAAGAAAGGAGGAAGAAAAAGAATTTTTCTTACTATTTTCCGTGTACGTGCATTTCATAATAGAAACAGATAAAACAATAAAATTCGTGCATATAATTGAAAAATAACTGAAAATTAATTAAAAAAATAATAATTTTTGTCACTCGACATTTTTGCTCCTGATACTTTGTACTTCTACTCTGATTGCGTGGTGCTCGAGACACTTTGACTTCGTCTATTTGAGCTTGTAGTTGTTGTATCTGCTTACCGAGTGTAGGCTCGCCACGTATGGCTGATACATTCGAAAAATTTAACATTTCCATCATTTGGTCCGCTTGCCGTGCCAAGTCTGTTGAATCACCCGTGCCAATTGATATCACCGCACGTATATTATCAGGTAAGCGTTCGAGCCATAGCGATTTTAGCACATCGTCACTAAGTTTATCCCTGGCCAATTCTCTCATCCGTTTCAGCAGTTGTGTAGGCTTTAAGTCACCGAGTTCACTTTCTTTAATTAGCTTGCGTATTTTTCGCTGATCAGAGTCGGAATATTCAGCAATCAGTGCTTTTTCACTGCCTCGTATTTATTTGCTGCCGGCGCGTTGCTTACAATGTCAGCAATTTGCATTATCGCCTCCGCACCTAATGAACTGATCACATAATGATACTTCGTGTCATCGCTTTTTACATGTGAAATTGCAAAATTGGATTCCATCTAGATAAAATATAACTCGGGCCTTTGCTTGCAGAATGCAGGCGGTCTAATGCTGATGTGTTGTAACTCACCGGTAAAACGATTTTCTTCCGGCGTGTGGGCTGCCCCTGTGGTATTATCCTGTTCTTCTTCAGACATCAGTGCACGGCTAGCTCTTCTTCACGCTACAAAACGTATACATTTTGTTCAAGTGGCCGATGCCGTCACGTGCTTTTCGAACCTTCTCGAATTCCTTGTGTCGGGGTCACCAATGTGGGTAGCTCCTGGCTCGTCACGGTGTTAGCGCAGGTCCCACTACCGAGTTCCTAACGCCAATTGGTATGTCAGTAAATGTTTACACACCGGTTGTGTTTTTACTCAGCAAACTCTTCAGTAGCTTTTATTAAATTATTACTATTACAAAATCAAGTATCAAATAATCTATATCTTCGCGAGGTGAGTAGCACTCGTATACACGTTTTTCGAATGGTTAACAAGAAAGCGTAAAAAGGAAAAGAAAGATAATTATGTATCTACATTCTAGAATGTTTCAAGAAAAAGAATGTCAATTTGAAAATTAAACATGATTAAAACAGTGTTACCAGATTTTACATACAAGTATATCTCAAACTAAGTTTTAATAGCTAATAGTAGGGTGTCTAACTTTTTTGCCGCCACTTTTTGTAGTCGCCTCGTGTGCAGATCTTGAGGCATATAGGAATCGTCGCTGCATAAAAAATTTAATACGCGTCTAAAGCTATACGACCCGTGTACAGACTGTCAAAGGCCATTGAAGTGGCCATGCACTGAGCGGCTGAGCGGCATTTTTGTATGGCGCCGCTCAGCCGCTCGCTGCTTTGCTGCTCATTGCGTGGCCTCGACCTTATAGCGTTTTCGTTTCTCAAAAAAAGTTCTGCCCTTTTATATGGGAACTCTTACTTTGCGTTGCCCTGAAACCTGAGAAAATGTTGCATTCTTTATATGAGAATGAAACAGAAAATGTACTACTCCATCACAATTTATTTATAGAACTTAATAAAGCTGAATTATTCACTTGGCCTGTAAGTCTTTAACAATTTTAAAGCAAAACACTTATTTCTGATAGGGGAAATAATTGAATTTTTACAAGATTAAATTAAAAATCAACCATGCAACTCTCACCCTCACGTTTATTTTAGGGCAGAAAAGGCAGCACTTTCGCCGGATCAGAGCGCAACCTGCTGAGAAAAGAACACGACGCCTTGTGAAAGGGCTGAGAAAAGAACATGAAAATGTGACAGCGTTAACACAAGGCAGAATAAGTGCAGCCTTTTTTCGAGAAAAGAAAATGCTATTAGAGACATTTCTGTATTCGATTACGACCGCCGTACATGCTCACACTCGCACCCGTTCACGGTGCTGCGCTGATGTGGCACCGACATCGGTCGACTCGTGTGCATCCACATTTGCACACTTGAGTTTTTAGTTTCCGTTCAGACATCGCTGCAACTTCAGTTGCATATTATCGGGGATTTCTCGTTTGGTGCTGCCCTTTGCATTCACGCACAGCAACTCGTCTGTACACAATTGTTGTCTGCTTTGAACCGCTAATCTGGGCTCGAATCGTAACATATTTACGTTATCGTATTACTCGTCAGGTAAAAACACATTTTTCGGATTATGGCATATGGAAACGTACTCTTTGTCCCATTCAGCTTATACTGCCTGACGTATCACGTAATTTTCTTTCGTATCCTTTTCGATCCGTGAACGGATTCGAGCCCTGAATTACTAAGACGAACGAGAGCATAAAGCTTGTTGCCCGAGCATAAGAAAGCCGTCACCTCCTCTTCTAGAAGTAACGAGTTGCCGTGTTTGAAAACAGTCAAAAGAACACTCCTGCACTATTCTAAGATTCATGTTTATTCAATTGAAATTGTTTAACTTTTCTTGAGTTAACACTGTTGCTTGGGTATTATGCATGATTCAATAATAATATTAATAATAATGTATTATTAAATCATGACTATTATATTATATGAACTATTTAACATTTTTTTACATATTTGAATGTCAGGTTGTTGGTTGAGTAAAGGAACAACTTTTGCATAAATGGAAGTCGACCAGACCGCTTTCGATATTTGTGATGATCATGAACATAATGATTTAAGTGTGGATTATGTTCTAGAAAACGTGCTCAGTACGCAAGAAGATTCTGACAATTGCGAAGAATACCAGCAGCTTAAAGAAAGTTATAATTCAGTCCTCATCAATGGGTGTCAATGCAATGAAAATAAAGACAGTTGTGTTTTGTGTTTGCATAGTGGAAATTATGTATTTGATTTGCGATCAAAAGAATTAGTTCTTGACAGGGAGAGGTCTAAGGAATTAATTTATGAATGCAATTATCAATGCGAATGTGATCCCATTAAATGCCTCAACAGACTTGTTCAAAAAGGACCCAGAAAAGGGCTAAAAATTATTAACTCCGAAATGTGTTACTCAAAAGGCCTCATTACAACAAAACTCATTCCTCAAGGCGGTTTTATTTGCGAATATGCCGGTGAAATCCTAACACACAACGAAGCTCTTAGACGACAAAAAGAAAACATGGAAGCTTCTTCAATGAACTACATTCTTTTTTTGAATGAACGTAATATAGAGGATAAATACTCGACGAAGTTTGGCGCACATACAACAATCATTGATCCCTGCAAGAGAGGTAATATTGGACGTTACTTAAATCACAGCTGTAATCCAAATTGTGAAGCGCGTAGTGTACGCGTAGATTGCCCAATTCCAAAGATTGGTAAGTCAAAATTCCTAAATAGTTTTGTTCACTAATATCCATTTTGTATTTCAAAGGTATATTTGCAAAACGTTCCATAATAGCCGGAGAAGAACTTTGTTTTCATTACAATGAGGGTTTGATTGAAGTGAAAGAAAAAATTAATTTGGCAATAACCAAAAGAACAATTTGCCTATGTGGAGCCCCAAACTGTTTAGGATATTTGCCCACTGGTAATTTATGAAGAATTATTAGCTGCAATCCAGTACGCCATCCGCGCTTACCAGATGTTACTTAAAATCGCTCCCGTGCTCGCTCTAAGCGCGTTGTTATTAGTTATGTTTCTGTATTTTTTCCAGGGCTTCGGAGCGGAGCGGGGCTAAGGAACAAAGTATTTCCGCTGGAGCGGAGCTTGCGCAAAAAGCTAAAAGAAAAGTTATTTTGCACATTAGCTCCTTAGAGAAATTACATTAACTTTCTTTTTATTTCTGCTACTGAGAGCAATCGTGTTAAATAAACTGCCATTCTATATTTACTTGGTAATATTGTTCAATTTGAACGGAAGGAAAAACAATGACTTCCCAGCATCGTATATAATTACAAGTATGGAATCCTATGCCCCTTTTTGTCTATTCTCTTTCTAACAGCGGACGTGCCTGCCAAACTGAAAAGCATGATGGCGGCAGTGTTTCACAGGCACGTTCGACGATACGAACGGCAATGGAAGGTAAGAAATGGAAGATGGATGACATGAGAGTGAAAGAATTATGAAATAGCAGAATGTCGAACCAAAACGAATTTCAAAAATCTGACAATGCGAATGACGTCAAAATGAAAGAAATGCAAAATAGCGAAATGTCGAAACAGAAGAAATATATGACAGGCACGTGTTCAACGGTTTTGTGCAACAAAAAGAGTTGTTGTGTTGCGCCATTCAATATTAAAAAAAATTTAATTTGGTTAAATACGCTTTTTTAAAAAGTTGAAAAAACTACATATTTCGCCAGCCAAAAAGTGTATAAATAAATATATAGCATCTTGCTATAAGATTTATTTATAAAAAGGGTATATGCTTATTGCCTTACTCATAAAAAACAAAATAGATTTAAAGAGCTATCTCTAAACAGTAACATAAAAAAAAAATTAGATTTGTTTACTTTTTAAGAATTTTGGTATAACATTTAACTTAACTCTTTGTGCACCCATCTCTTTTTCTATTTATTATTCTCAAATTTTTCTTTTCCTTAATACTCATATGACTGAGTTTCAATTGATTTTTTTCTGACGTTTGCAAAATTGAAAATAAAAAAATTAAATTGTTCACAATTCTTGTTGCTTGAGATTAAAAATCAGAATGTGTGTGTGAGCTTGAGTTC